GGGGGGGCCGGACCAGGGAAAGGGCTGAAGAACAAACAATCCGATAGTCCACGCGTATTTTAAGGTCGATAACCCAGTAGTTATACATATACACACCGATATATGGGTCCCTGAATACGTGTTCGCACACCCCAAAGCAATGCCACTACGCTTCCCTTGTTAGTCGTTATTTGAGATGGAAATATTTAAATCGATTTACCGTCTTCTTCCTCTCCCCCTCCCCTACTTCTTCCCTCTAAGAACTTTTGATTGGTAATGGGGAGTAATTTTAGCGTCTTAAGAATTATTATTAAAAGAATAATAGGGGTAGAAAAAGGGGTGAATGGGAAATAATTTATTTCATTGGACTCCATAATATATCATATCAAAGCTAAAAGTGGTAAAGAAAAGGCACCTAAAGCAAGCAGGATAGATTTTATTCACTTAGTTCTGTCACTTTATAGTCGATTACCGTATTAGCCTTTTTTATTTTTGTCTAATCAGCAATTAGGTAGTTTAGTTTAACCCTGCCTCTGAGGGGTTGCATGAATCCCCTTTATGGATGAAATGAAGTCTTCATAAACTATGGTAGAATGATCTTCCTTCGTCTGTCTTTTTATTTTATTTTACAAAACTTTACGCGGTCTTCTCACTTGACGGGAGAAGTTGGATGTGGATTGAAATGCGATCCTCCGACATGTACGTTCGGAAATGATACGTCTCCCCTTCCTTCAGCACCAGCGGGGTGGGGAATTGGAGGTTTTGTTCGCTGTCAATGAGCTGAATCGCCTGGCCCCAGTGCGTATCCCGCGGAAGGTTATCCACCGTATCGTGCGGGGAAGTCGACATCGTCTCGCTACCGTCGGTTGCGATCCAGTAAAAGACCCAGGCGTGGGCCCTCCCTCCTTTTCCGTTTGTTTTTAACTCGAAGTCAAAGACCTTTTTCAGCGCCGCCCGGGTGCTGGTGGAGAAATCGAGGCTAAACAACGCGACCGGCTCGGAAAGAAAGCGAAAGGGCACGCTATTCAGGCGAAATCCGTATTGCTTGGAGAAGACGATGCTCGCCGTGTCCTGCAGACGCATCATGTGCGAAAGGTCGATCCCGTCCCACGAGCTGACGGCGGTGATCTGCTCGAGGGTCTCGCACTCGACCGGGACGGCGTACTGCGTGGCGAAGGTCGGGATAATCTTGGCGTCCTTGGTCAGCAGCCGCTCGCGGACGTCGGCGATGTAGTCCAGCGCGCTCTCCCCGAGCAGCAGCGTGCCGAAGATCTCGGACACCAGCACGTCGGCCCGCCGAGGGAGCTCGCGGAGCTGGAGCTCGGTGCTGAGCCGGTGCAGGATCGTGACCCGCCCGCGGAGCCCGTTCGCCTCGACGTTGGCCCGCGCGAGGGCGGCCATCTCGGCGGAGCCCTCCACCGCGACCACCCACGCCGCCCCGAGCCGGGCGGCCAGGATGGACAGCAGCCCGGAGCCCGCCCCGATCTCCAGCACGCCAGATCCGGGCCCCACGTGGCGGGCCAACAGCCGCCGGTAAAACCCGTTCCGCGCGGCGTCGTTCATCAGGGCGAAGTGGAAGTCGTTCACGGCGTCGACCAGCGGCCGCGCGGCCTGGCGGAGGCGGGGAGGGGCCGGCAGGTTCG